TTAACCAGACTGCAGTGAAGAGGACTTGCCCATCTATACTCAGAAAACTGGAGTGGTGACATATATTTCCTCCCTTGAATGACACAGAGTTCCCAGAGTTCCCCCTCATCATCAATTCACTTAGAAGGACCATTTTCAGTATAAAAATGTACCTGATTCTTGCCCATGTTCAGAAAGCCAGCTAAGAATTCTCAAACATTTCATTTCATTTCAGCTTTGTAACTAATTTCCCTATGTGCCTACTCCTGATGAGTAACTGACAAATAGGCATTTTATGGAAGCTGTGATGGGGAATTTTGCTTTTATTTTGACCATTACTGCATTACAAACAAAATGGAAAGTGTGTGTGTTTCATGTCAATCAATTTGCATTTCTTGAAATGAGAATTGGAAAAGCCAGATGGTCTTTCCTTAAAGAACAATAGTTATATTGTTTTGTTGTGGTTCTTACAGTTATGCTTAAACATCAACTGAAACAGACTTTACTTGATATCTTAATCCATTTGTGTTACAATAAAGGAATACCTTTCAACACAAGACATGGGAGGGCCAAACAAACCATATCCAAACCACAGCACTTGGAAAGCAGGATTACTGAGGATTCTTCAGTGACCTGTGCTATTTATTGAAGTTGTATAGTCATTTTGTACAAGACATTGTGTACAAACAGAACAAGTGATCATAACACTTGTTTTTAAAAACAGATATCGGTAATGTAAGTATCAATAAATTACTTGTTAAATTAAGGGCCATGTCTCCTAGAACAGCTTATAATGTCAATTTTGTATAGCTGTGTTTCACTTATCCAGTCCCTAAACTTATCTGTGCTCTCTTTCCTCCTTGGGCAGAGATCTTATTTCCCTCTTATTGAGAAACAGAGGACAGCCTCCATGAGCCCCCTGGGTGTGCCTACCCATCTCCACCTGAGAAGATCTCCTACCTCCATGTGGCCCAGTTTGCCAACTGGCTTAACAAGAAAAACTGCTCTCCAGAGATACCACCTTGATCTTCACTGCCCCAGGATCTTCTCTGCCAGTTAACTCTTTCTCTTGTACTTTTGATTCTTCCCTATCCCTTTGTGGTTTACAGACTCACACAATGTCTTCCATCTATGACTCTATTCCATTGCTTTGAGTACTTCCCAGGTTCAGAACCTCATCTTCTCTTACCTGGGCTGTTCATTGATCCCTCCAGCTGCAGCTGCTTTCTTCCCAGAATTTTATGCCAGAATTATTTCATTAAAAGACATGTGTGATTATGTTAGTCCCCTATCCAAAAACTCAGTGATCTCCAAAAAGAATTAGAAAAAAAAAATTAATATAAGCCTGAAGGTCTTCTACTGCCCACCTTGAGGCCTTCTATCTTCTTTTCTGGAACAAGTATCTTCTGCACACCTTTCTGGTTCTTTGAACATCCATGCCCTTCTTCAGACCTCTGAACTTCTGCCCTTGCTATTTTCCCATCCACAGTGTCTTCTCCTCCTGTTGAAATTGTCCTCGATGAAAAACCTTCCTTTGTGTTCCAGTGCAGATCAATGATCCCCACTTCTGTGTACCTGCTATGGTTTGAGTGGACCCTCCAAAATTCATGCTGAAATTTAATTGCCATTGTGATGATATTAAGAGCTAGGACTTTTAAGAGGTGATTAATTCATTAATCATAAATTGATTAGCACCATTACGTTGGGAGTGGATTTGTTATTTCAGGAGTAGATTCCCAATAAAAAGGATAAGTTCAGCCTCAGTTTCTCTCTCTGTTCTGTGTGCTAACTTGCCCTTATGCCATGTTATGACACAGCAAGAAGGGTCACACCAGGTGTTGAGGAGATGCTGCTGTCATGTCCTTGGACTTCTCAGCCTCCAGAACTGTGAGAAATAAATTTATTTTCTTTATAAATTGCTCAGTCTCAGATATTCTTTTATAGCGGCACAAAACCCACTAGAATAGTACCTATTTTACACTTTCATTATAGCACTGCCTTGCGTTGTGGTTACTTCTATGTGTCTGAGATCAGGAACACTGTTTTTTCCTTTTCTTTTTATCTTCCCCAGCAACAAACATGGTGATTTATGAAAATTAGATGTTGAAGCACTGAATTACATTGTGTGCTGTTAACCAAATGGATAATCACAGAGGTATTATAGGGAAGAAGACAATGTTGATTCATTTTCATCAGACATTATCTTCTGTAATATTATTTAAATGCAATGTACTTCCCCCAGATCTAGAATTTTTATCTATTGATGAATTGAATTCTTATTTTGAATTTCTCATATGAAGAAGGCATTTATGTGTGTAAAGTAGAAAGATCAGGCTAGGATTAGAAATGCTAATAAGTTCTAGCCCTGGCTGATCTTATCTCTGAACATCTCTGAAATGAGGAAACTACATTCTCCCTAAAGTCTCTACCAAGTCTAAGATTTTATTTTGACTATCACTATTGTCTTTTGTCAGCTTTTGCTATATAAAATCTAGTTTTTATGCTTGATGCACCATTTTTCATAGCATAGACAACCGTGCTTTGAATGCTTCAAAGATTTCTTGATAACTAAGAGATCCCAACCCTAGTAATTAACTCCCTGAGAGAGACTTAGGCAGCTCATTTCTTTCTAATCTTTTTGTGGAGTCACCAAGAACAAAGTCTACTAGAAGAAAAGGTATGGAGAAAATTTCTAAGCCCACAGCATGCCACTCTCACGAGCTGCCCTCTCTTCATCCAACAAATATTTATTGTGCCCTTATTATGTACCAGGTACTGTTCTAGGCATGAGAATACAGTGATGAGTGAGACAGACAAGGACCCTTCATTCTGGTAGTTTATAGTAGAAAAGGAAAGGAACATGATAAATAAGAAAACAAATTTTAAAAAGGTCATTTTTACCTAGCGATATGGGTCAAGGGAACAATAAGAGAGAGTGTTTTAATAGGTTTTTGAATACTTAATTTAGCTCAGGTGAACATGAAGGGTTCAGAATAATTAAAGCAGCCACATGTGCAAAGATCTAGGGGCCCCAGGGAAACTACCCAACTATAAGAACACTGGTGCTCCTAGTACAGGGGAAACAAACTCCTAGGAGTCAGATCCAGTTTCCCCAGTGGAGATGATTTCTGAGGAGTGGGTTCCTGACAAAAAGATGAGTTTTGCCTGCATTTTTCTTTCTCCCATGCTCACTTGCATGAAGCATCATTAGACCTGATTTAAAGCTCAAATCCTCTCTAGGACAAAGCTGTAATTCATAGATCATCTTTGATAGCAGAGAGCAGCGACTCTACTTATTTCTGCAAAACATACACTGCAAAAATGGGGTTCACATTTGTGAAACATTTCTGTGGGCAGACTTAGCTATTTTTATAGTCTATGGCATAAAAGAGATAGGCTTCAAGTCATGTGCAGTTTGTGGGATTTGAAGCACTTTTAGATTCAGTTCAGTACATTTCAGTTAATGTACATTAAAATGAAAGCTCGTAAGAATGATACTGATAGTAGCCCTAATTAAATTTTCACTGACAAACTTTAGTACTTCCTTTTCAAAACAATTGGTATCTTGTAGCTCATCAAGATAATAAGAATGAGAGACCTATAGAATTAGGTCCACATTCCTCAGCCAGTCCCCCGCTTGAGCCACTTTTCCCTTAAATACCATTACACACCAGTACATGCTGGCTCTTAACGTGAGCTTCATCCCAGTCATGCTATAGATAATAATGGACAGGATTTTGAACTTCAAAGTTATGTAAACCTGCGTGCGCTTACATCTCCATTTTGCCATATACTTGCTGTGTGACTAATTAGACTTCCTCGACGTTGGGAATAACAAACAGTATCTAACTTATAATGTCATAGGAAGTACTCAGTAAGTGATATGATTATTGATTTTAAAATATGAAAGCTCTGTTGTTATTATTGCCGGGCTTCTAATTGCCTCTGAAAAGCACCCCTCCCTGTTAGTAACTATGAGCATTTGCCTAGCTGCATACCCCATCTAGAAGGTCCTTTCCTACCCTCATCCCAATATACCCAGTGAAATCCTTTTTATCCAGTGGAGGCCAGTTCGAATTTTGCTTTCTTCTCCATCCATAGTCAACCTTCTGATTAGTTCCATCTTCTCTGAAGTCTGTGAGCCATTACAGACATTACCATGCTCTTTGTTCTTTCACCACTGCTTGCCTGTCCCATATCCCTCTTTCTGATCCAGCCTGTGACCTCAGGAAGGTCAGTGTATTAGTCAGTTCTCTCACAGCTGTGAAGAAATACCTGAGACTGGATAATTTATGAAGAAAAGAGGTTAATTGGCTCATGGTTCCACAGGCTGTACAGGAAGCATGGCGACATCCACTCAGCTTCTGGAGAGGCCTCAGGGAACTTACAATCATGGCAGAAGGTGAAGGAGGAGCAAGACATCTTACAAGGTGGAACAGTAGCAATAGAGAGAGGGGAAGATGCTACACACTTTTAAACAACCAGATCTGGTGAGAACTCACTCACTATCATGACAACAGCACCAAAGGGGATAGTGTAAAACCATTCATTAGAGAGTGCCATTCTGATCCAGTCACCTCCCACCAGGCCCCATCTCCAATACTGGGGATTACAACTGAACATGAGATTTGTGCAGGGACACAGATCCAAACCGTATCAGGCAATAATCTTTTTTTTTTTTTTTTTTTTAATACTTTAAGTTCTAGGGTACATGTGCATAATGTGCAGGTTTGTTACATATGTATACTTGTGCCATGTTGGTGTGCTGCACCCATCAACTCGTCAGCACCCATCAACTTGTCATTTACATCAGGTATAACTCCCAATGCAATCCCTCCCCCCTCCCCCCTTCCCCCTCCCCGTGATATGCCCTGGTGTGTGATGTTCCCCTTCCCGAGTTCAAGTGATCTCATTGTTGAGTTCTCACCTATGAGTGAGAACATGCAGTGTCTGGTTTTCTGTTCTTGCGATAGTTTGCTGAGAATGATGGTTTCCAGCTGCATCCATACTCAAACTCATCCTTTTGACACAAAGGACACAAACTCATCCTTTTTTATGGCTGCATAGTATTCCATGGTGTATATGTGTCAGGCAATAATCTTGTCTTCCATTTATTGTACCTTCCTCTTCACTGAAATGATGAATCAATGAACAAATAAATGAGTATCCTCAGTGTAAAGATTTTCCTGTAGTTCAAATCAATGTCACCCACCTCTGGGAACCCATTTTATACCTTTATGACAGCATCATCTTGACTTTGTAGGTAATCATGTGTGAGATCAGGGGCACTTGCCTGCAGGGAGACAAATTATAAGAATGAAGCAATCTTCTGGAGAGCGACTCTAGAACCATGTAAGGGAAGAGATTTTCTTAGGAGGATTATACATTTTTAAAATGTGGGTTGCAGTCTAATAGTAGATCAATAAATCTTTCTATCTAGTAGGTTGCCATCAGCAATTTTTTAGTAGAATGGAATGGAATAGAATAGAATAGAATAGAATAGAATAGAATAGAATAGAATAGAATAGAAAACATCAGGGTGAATTGCATGTAATAAAGTTAACAATTATGTAGTGAAACAGATTACTGAATCCACTCCTAGAATTTCTGATTCTATAGGTCTGGGGTGACAACTGAGACTTTCCATTTCTAACGTGAGTTTGTTTGAACAGAGTCTTAGTATAAAATGTGTTCCTTGCTGTAGGTCTCAGTCAAAAACTGTTTGAGAAAAACATTGCTCTACTTCATGAAGAGTCAGGTCTAAGGGACACATTTTTATAATTTCACCCAGAGTGTTCTGACATATGTTATCTTGGAACATTTTAACATCCTTGCCAGGTAGGTAGGAATATGTGATGATATTACAGTCATTGTAGAGAAAGGGGGACCAGGGGGTTTAGATGTGCTTAACAGATCTTTGTTGATCAGGCAATTTGGCTTAGCATAGCCACACAGGTAGACGGCAATTGATTTAGAACCAGAACCCAGAACTGAAACTGTTAAATTGTAATTTCTTCACTAATTAAATAAGTGGTTTCTAAACTGTTCAGGGTTTATCATAAGGGTTATGAAAAAATTCTCTAAAGATTTTTTAAAGTTTATAAACAAGAAGTCACGTCTTCATGCCACTTTTAACTCTGAACATGGAGGTTGTCATAGTCCTAAAATAAGCAACACCAGCAGCTGCAAAAAAAAAAAAAGATACAAAATGATTAATACATGCAGAGTAAATGATACTAGAAAATCATTGTCTTGCAATTCCAAAGGAAAGAATGGATCTAGACAGCCAGTGAAACAGACCAACACATCCCAAGCATTGGCCTGTCTCAGCATTTCTAACAGTGAGTCACACAGATCTTATGTGCCTCATAATTGATACAGTGGGAAGGACACTGTACCATCTGTGAAGAATTCTTGCCTTAAAAAAAGGATCTAGAACCAGAAATGCCATTTGACCCAGCAATCCCATTACTGGGTATACACCCAAAGGATTATAAATCATTCTACCATAAAGACACACGCACGTGTATGTTTATTGCAGCATTATTTACAATAGCAAAGACTTGGAACCAACCCAAATGCCCATGAATGACAGAATGGATAAAGAGAATGTGGCACATATACACTATGGAATACTATGCAGCCATAAAAAAATGAGGGCGGTGGCTCATGCCTATAATCCCAGCACTTTGGGAGGCCAAGGTCAGTGGATCACGTGAGGTCGGGAGTTTGAGACCAGCCTGACCAACATGGAGAAACCCTGTCTGTACTAAAAATACTAAATTAGCCAGGCGTGTTGGCGCATACCTATAATCCCAGCTACTTGGGAGGCCGAGGCAGGAGAATTGCTTGAACCCAGGAGGCAGGGGTTGCAGTGAGGCAAGATCACACCACTGCACTCCAGCCTGGGCAACAAGAGCAAAACTCCGTCTCAAAGAAAAAAAGAAAAAATGAGTTCATGTCCTTTGCAGGGACATGGATGAAGCTGGAAGCCATCATTCTCAGCAAATTAACACAGGAACAGAAAACCAAACACTGCATGTTCTCACTCATAAGTTGGAGTTGAACAATGAGAACACATGGACACAGGAAGGGGAACATCACACACTGGGGCCTGTCAGCGGGGTTGGGGCCTAGGGGAAGGAGGGCATTAGAACAAATACCTAATGCATGCAGGACTTAAAACCTAGATGATGGGTTGATAGGGGCAGCAAACCACCATGGCACACGTATACCTATGTAACCTGCACATTCTGCACATGTATCCCAGAACGTAAAGAAAAAAATGAACCTGAACATAATTAAGGCTCTAAATCTAACTACCAGCTTATCGGGAAGCTGATTGAAGAAGGCAAATGACAACAGGAGGAGTGGCACCCAGCTAAATCTACACTGTGAGATATTCAACAACGTTAGTTCCCAAGGAGGAGATCTTGGAGGGCTTGTTAAATGGAAATGTCTTAGGCCCTACTCCCAAATTTGTGATTCTGTGGGACAGTATTTGCATTTCTGGCAAGTTCCCAGGAGATACTGATGCCACTGATCCAGGGGCCACACTTTGAAAACCACTGGTCAACAGGATGAACAACCTGCATATCCAACCAATCAGTGACGTGAGAGGGATCGGGGATATTATAGAATAAAATGCCTTCTAACAGCCTACAAACTTAAGACAATATATGGACTTCATCTTGATCTTAATTCAAGGCAGCTGCAAAAAGAAATTTTGAAGCAACTAGGAAAATCTAAATGTAGACCTAATGTGGAGTTAAATTAAGAAATTATCCTTGATAGGGCAAGATGGTGGAATAGGAACAGCTCCGATCTGCAGCTCCCAGCGAGATTGACGCAGAAGATGGGTGATTTCTGCATTTCCAACTGAGGTACCTGGTTCATCTCATTGGGACTGGTTGGGCAGTGGGTGCAGCCCACAGAGGGTGAGCAGAAGCAGGTTGGGGTGTCGCCTCACCTGGGAAGTGCAAGGGGTCAGGGAATTTTCTCCCCTACCCAAGGGAAGCTGTGAGGAACTGAGCCTGAGGAACTCCAGCAGAGATACTGCACTTGTCCCATGGTCTTCACAACCTGCGAACCAGGAGATTCCTTCTGGTGGCTACTGCACCAGGGCCCTGGGTTTGAAGCACAAAACTGGGCGGCCATCTGGGCAGACACTTAACTAGCTGCAGGAGTTCTTTTTTTCCACACCCCAGTGGTGCCTGGAATGCCAGCAAGACAGAACCGTTAACCTCCCTGGAAAGGGGTGCTGAAGCCAGGGAGCCAAGTGGTCTGGCTCAGCAGGTCCCACCCCCACGCAGCCCAGCAAACGAAGATCCACTGGCTTGAAATTCTCGCCGCCAGCACAGCAGCAGTCTGAGATTGACCTGGGACACTCGAGCTTGGTTGGGGGAGGGGCGTCCACCATTGCCGAGGCTTGAGTAGGCGGTTTTACGCTCACAGTGTTAACAAAGCTGCTGGGAAGTTCAAACTGGGTGGAGCCCACTGCAGCTCAGCAAGGCTGCTGTGGCCAGACTGCCAGATTTTTCTTCTCTGGGCAGGGCCTCTCTGAAAAAAAGGCAGCAGCCCCAGTCAGGGACTTATAGATAAAACCCCCATCTCCCTGGGACAAAGCACCTGGGCAAAGGCGCAGCTGTGGGCACAGCTTCAACAGACTTAAACATCCCTACCTGATGGCTCTGAAGAGAGCAGCAGACCTCCCAGCACAGCGTTGGAGCTCTGCTAAGGGTCAGACTGCCTCCTCAAGTGGGTCCCTGACCCCTGTGTATCCTGATTGGGAGACATCTCCCAGTAGAGGCTGATAGACACCTCATCCGGGAGAGCTCTGGCTGACATCTGGCAGGTGCCTCTCTGGGACAAAGCTTCCAGAGGAAAGAACAGGCAGCAATCTTTGCTGTTCTGCAGCCTCCGCTGGTGATACCCAGGCAAACAGGGTCGGGAGTGGACCTCCAGCAAACACCAGTAGACCGGCAGCAGAGGGGCCTGACTGTCAGAAGGAAAACTAACAAACAGAAATAGCACGTCCATTCAAAGACCCCATCCAAAGGTCACGAACATCAAAGACCCAAGGTAGATAAATCCACAAAGATGGGGAGAAATGAGAGCAGAAAGGCTGAAAATTCCAAAAAACAGAATGCCTCTTCTCCTCCAATGGATCACAACTCCTTGCCAGCAAGGGTACAGAACGGGATGGAGAATGAGTTTGACAAGTTAACGGAAGTAGACTTCAGAAGGTGAGTAATAACAAACTCCACCAAGCTAAAGGAGCATGTTCTAACCCATCGCAAGGAAGCTAAAAACCTTGAAAAAAAGGTTAGAGGTATGGCTAACTAGAATAACCAGTTTAGAGAAGAACATAAATGACCTGATGGAGCAGAAAAACACAGCACGAGAACTTCGTGAGGCATACACATGTATCAATAGGCAAATCGATCAAGCAGAAGAAAGGATATCAGAGATTGAAGATCAACTTAATGAAATAAAGAATGAAGACAAGATTGTGGAAAAAAGAATAAAAAGGAATGAACAAAGCCTTCAAGAAATATGGGACTATGTGGAAAGACCAGGTCTATGTTTGATTGGTGTGCCTGAAAGTGACCAGGAGAATGGAACCAAGTTGGAAAACACTCCTCGGGATATTATCCAGGAGAACTTCCCCAACGTAGCAAGGCAGGCCAACATTCAAATTCAGGAAATACAGAGAACACCACAAAGATACTCCTCGAGAAGAGCAACCCCAAGACACATAATCCTCAGATTCACCGAAGTTGAAATGAAGGAAAAAATGTTAAGGGCAGCCAGAGAGAAAGGCCGAGCTACCCACAAAGGGAAGCCCATCAGACTAACAGCAGATCTCTCTGCAGAAATCCTACAAGTCAGAAGAGAGTGGGGGCCAATATTCAACATTCTTAAATAAAAGAATTTTCAACCCAGAATTTCATATCCAGCCAAACTAAGCTTCATAAGAAAAGGAGAAATAAAATCCTTTACAGACAAGCAAATGCTGAGAGATTTTGTCACCAACAGGCCTCCCTTACAAGAGCTCCCGAAGGAAGCACTAAACATGGAAAGGAACAACCGGTACCAGCCACTGCAAAAACATACCAAATTGTAAAGAACATCGACACTATGAAGAAACTGCATCAACTAATGGACAAAACAACCAGCTAGCATCTTAATGACAGGATCAAATTCACACATAACAATATTACCCTTAAATGTAAATGGGCTAAATATCCCAAATAGAAAACACAGACTGGCAAATTGGATAAAGAGTCAAGA